GGGATGGGGACATCAGGGACTGTGGGATGGGGACACCAAGGACTGTGGGATGGGGACACCAGGGACTGTGGGATGGGGACACCAGGGACTGTGGGATGGGGACACCAAGGACTGTGGGATGGGGACACCAGGGACTGTGGGATGGGGACACCAGGGCCTGTGGGATGGGGACACCAGGGACTGTGGGATGGAGAGCCCTGTGGGATGGGGACACCAGGGACTGTGGGACGGGGACAGGGGTGCCGGGGGCTGCGGACTGGGGGTGCCCCAGGGTGAGGGCCCCGGGGCAGGCGGTACCTGTGCCTTTCTTGCAGATGTAGGGCAGGTTGTAGTTGCAGGGCACGTCGTTCCACTTGCCGATCTCGTGGGACACCAGCACCACGCAGTCCTCGCCCCCCGCGAAGAAGTTGTCGGGTTGGTTCTCCCGCCAGTTCTCGTATTGCTGCGGGACCCCAGCGAGGGTGAGACCCTCCCTGCCCCGCCCCCCGAGCCCCCCCTCGCACCCCCAAGTCCCTCACCAAGCCCGTGTTGTCGGTCCACTGGAAGTCCTGCTCCACGATCCTGTCATTGAGCCCGATCCAGGTGTTCTCGTGCCCAAAACCTGCGGGGAGGGGCACGCCCGGCTCTCAGGGGGGGAGGGGAGCCCAGGGGGGCGGGACGGGGTGTGACCCCCCACACACACCCACCGTTGATGAAGCCGTGCTCCTCCGGGGAGTGGATGCTGGTGAGGTGCCCGGCGCGGCGCCGGCAGTCCCGCTCCGCGTCCTCCCAGGAGCGCCGGCGGGAGAAGTACCGGTAGCAGTGACCCTGGAACTTGTGCCAGTTGTGGTCACAGCCCTGCGTGTCTGCGGAGGGGACACGGGGACGGTGGGGACAGAGAAGGGGACCAGCGGCACGGGGAGGGAGGCGGGGAGCGGCTCCTCATCCCGCGCCCCCTCCCAGCACCCCCAGAGCGGCGGGGGGTGCCCAGCACCCCGTGGGGGTCTCCCCGACCCCGTGGTGACCCACCCGGGGGTTCGTGGGGACACCGGGGGCTGCTCCCCACCTTTCTCGCAGCGGCTGCCGCCGTAGCTGGGCAGGCAGAGGCACACGAAGGAGTTCACCTCGTCGATGCAGGTGCCGCCGTTCTGGCAGGGGCTGGACAGGCAGTCGTCGATGTCTGCGGGGACACCGCGGGGGGCTGTGGGCACGGGGAGACCCCCCTGGCACCCGCCCACCACCCACCCCGCCCATCGCCCCCTCCAGTGCCGGCGGTGACCGAGGATGGGGGATTGGGCAGGACTTGGAGCCGCGGCCCCATTCCCGCGGCTGCTGCTCCGCGCTGTGCTGGGACAGGGATTGGGATGCTCCCGTGTGGGGCAGGGTTTGGGATATTCCTGTGCCGGGGCAGGGTTTGGGATGCTCCTGTTCTGGGGCAGGTTTGGGATGTTCCTCTGCCGGGGTAGGGTTTGGGATGCTCCCGTTCCGGGGGACGTTTGGGATGCTCCTGTGCCGGGGCAGGTTTGGGATGCTCCTGTTCTGGGGCAGGTTTGGGATGTTCCTCTGCCAGGGCAGGGTTTGGAATGCTCCTATTCCGGGGCAGGTTTGGGATGCTCCTATTCCGGGGCAGGTTTGGGATGCTCCTGTGCCGGGGCAGGTTTGGGATGCTCCTGTTCCGGGGGAGGTTTGGGATGCTCCCGTGCCGGGGCAGGGCTCGGGACGCCCCGGCTCTCACCGATCTCGCAGTTCTCCCCGGTGAACCCGGGGGCGCAGCTGCAGCCGCAGACGGTGCCGTTGGCGCGGCAGGTCCCGCCGTGCAGGCAGGGGTTGTTCTCGCAGGGGTCCGACGGGGCTGGTGGGGGGGGAGCAGGAGCCCTGAAGCCCGGGCGGGGGGACACAGTGGCCCCCACCTCATCCCCGCTCCCGTCCCACCCGCGCCCGGTTGGTGGAAACTCCCCAGTGAGTGAATTGGTTTGGGTAAAAGGAGAGAAAGCTCCCAAACCTCCCCCCCAAACCCTCCCGGTGGGTCAGCAGGAAGCTCCCGCCTCCCCAGCCCGTCGTCCCCGTGCCCATCAGCCGCGGGGGACAAGGGGACACGCTGCCATCGTGCTCACCGTGCCGGGTGGCGTTGCCGGTGCCCCCCCAGGCCAGCAGCTCCCGCTCCTCCATTCCCGGCCCCTCGCCGCTCCCGCTGTCGGCGTCCAGCAGCGGGGACCCCCCCGGGCCCCCCAGCTCCGCTGCCACGGAGGGCTCGGAGAGCAGCCCCACGCCGGGGGACTCGGGGGTCCCCTCCACCCCCGGGTGGGGGGCAGTGGGTGGTGACCAAGGGCCGCGGGTGGCAGAGCCGAGGGGCTCGGGAGGCTCTTCCCTCCTTGCCTCCCCGGAGGAATCCTCCTGGCTGGGGGATGTTGGAGCATCCTCGTGGCTGGGGGGGGCTGGGGAGCCCAGGGGGGGCTGCCGAGGGCCTGGGGGGGGCAGGAGGAGCTGCTCCCCTGCCCCCAGCTCCGGCCCAGCGTGGCCGGTGGGATGGGGGGCCGCGGGAGCGAAGCCGGTGGACCCCTCCTCGGCCGCCGGCTCCAGCACCGCCGCCTCCACCGGCCCCTCGGAGCTGGCCCACGGGGTCCCCGCGGTGGCCGCGGGGGGAGTTGATGGCGAGGGGACGTCCCAACCCGGCGGGGGCGCGGCCGCTTCACTGCTGGGCTCGGCTGCGCCTTTCCCATCATCCCTGGATTCCTCTGGCTGCTCCCGGCCGGGCTCAGCCGGCCCGTGGGGGGCCGTGGGGCTCAGCCCCCCCCGGGCATGAGGAGCAGCCCCCTCGGTGGGGCCGGGGGTGCCCGGGTGACCCGTGGAGGGGCCATCTGGGAACAGGAAGGTCACCGCCTTCCTCTGCCTCTCCAGCGAGGTGTCCCCCGGGGCCCCGCTGCCGTCACCGTCACCACGGGGCTGCGGGGCCGGCTCGGGACCCTCGGCCACCAGCGGGGCCGGGGGCAGCGGGGGCCACGCTGGGACAGAGCCACCGTCCTCCTGGGACACGGTGTCCCCGGAGAAGTCCTCGGTGACCTCGGCGGGCGGCCGGGGGGAGTCCCCGCGGGCGCTGGGGACACGAGGCTGGGCCTCATCCGTGGGGATGTCCCGGCGGCCCAGAGGGTCGTGGGGAGCCACGGAGACAGGCAGGGGTGGGGACGGCACGGGGGGTGTTCCCGCAGGCCCCCCGGGACTGCGGGGGCTCCACAATTCCTGCGGGGAATCCCTCGGGGCCGGCGCCTGCGGCGAGGGCGACGCCGGGGCGGTGGCCGGTGCCATCAGCTCTGCAAGAGATGGCACAGCCGTGGGGTCCCCAACCCAGCACAGCCCCCGCCAGAACCCCCCTGGCCGTTCCTGGGTGTCACTTACCGGGGCCGATCTCCTCCTCCAGCGTGTTGGGGGACACGTCAGGGCCCTCCCGCCGCAGGCTCTCGGTGCCGGCTCGGGGGATGTTCCACGGCTCCACCGCGTTGGCCGCGGCTTCCTTCACCCCCAGGGCGAGGACGGGGGCCTGGGTGGCTGTGCCCACTGGGTCCCCAGCCACCGTGGGGTCCCCAGCTGCCACCGTGGGGTCCCGGCTCTGCCTCTGGAGCTGGAAGTAGCGCCCGTTCAGCCCGGCGTGGCTCTTCCTCGGGGGGTGGGAGCTGGGGGGGGGCAGGCTGGGGGTCTCTGCTGCCGTGCTGGGGACCGTCCCCAGCCCGGGTGGTGCCAGTGATGCTCCGGTGCTGTGCTCCCGGGCTGGGCTTTGGGAAGGTGGCAGGAGGGTGACCGGGGGCTCCTCAGGGTCTTCTTGCACCGGCAGCGCTGGGCTGGCACCGGCCGGGTCCCGCCAGGAGCTCTCCAGGGCCTGATCCACCACATTGAGAGCCTCCTCCTCATGGGGCCACGCCAGCGAGGGGGCCGTGGGGGGTGGCAGGGGTGTCCCACCGTCCATCCCCAGCCCGGGAGCTGTCGGTGCCAGGGCGGTCCCCGGGAGGTCCCCGCGCTGTGCTGTGGCCACGGGGCTGCTGCTTGCCAGCCTCAGCTGCTCATCCTCCTCCTCCTCCTCCTCCTCCTCCTCCTCCTCCTCCTGGCCTGGCCCCGAGGGCCCCGGCTGTGGCAGGAGCTCATAGTGGTCGTGGGGGGTGTCCCTGGTGTCCCCCGAGGTGCCCAGCTCCTCGCTGTGCTCCACCAGCACGTTGTCGCTGCCCGGCGGGTCGGGCACAGGCGGCACCGGCTCCTCCACATCCCTCTGCCCCGCGGCTGCAGGGACACCACGAGCATCAGAGGGGCAGGATGGGCATCCAGGTCACGGGGGGGGTCCCACAGCCCCCCTCGAGTGTCCGTGCCAGGCACTGCACCCCCCCAGCCAGGGTGACACCCGGGGCTGGGCTCCCTCCCAGCGCCGCTCTCCTCATCCATCCCGTTAATTCCCCAATTAAATAAATATCCATCCTCGACAACTTTCCTGGCCACGCCCACTGATTCCCAAGGGCATCCCGGTGCTGGCGAGGGGTCGGAGGGGAGCTGGGTGGCACCGTGGCTGGTCCCCCTTACCTTGGTAGCAGTAGGCGTCGAACCTGGAGGCGGCGGGGGGGAACCCGGTGCGGTTGGGGAACTGGTAGAGGGTCCTGACCCCCGGGGCCTCTCCCCCACACTTCCTGCGGGGCACCCTGATGGGGTAGCGGACGCTGCCGTCGGCCAACCAGCCCGGGTCACACTGGTCCAGCCCCTCCCGCCACGCCAGGTACAGCTGCCCCGTGGTGGCCAGCGAGGCCCCCCGGCTCCGGCAGTGCCGCCGGGCCCCCTGCCAGGTGAACCTCCCCGGCACCGTGGCGTAGAACACCGTCCCTGCAGGGGAGAGAGAGACCTTGGGGACACGGGGACAGGGAGCTGTGATGGTCCCCACGGCCCCGAGCCCAGCGATGGCTCCGTCACTTGGGCGCCGTGGCCACGCTGTGCCAAGGATGGCACGGGGCACTGGCACTGCCCCAGCACCGGCCCTGCAGCCAAACCCCAGCAGGAGAGCCATGGATGGAGATGCCTGTGCTCCCAGCCGTGCCATGGCCACGGAGGGACATCCCTGGGCATCCAGCCGTGCTCCTGGTCATGCCATGGCCACAGAGGGACATCCCTGGGCATCCAGCCCTGCTCCTGGCCATGGAGGGACATCCCTGGGCATCCAGCCGTGCCATGGCCACGGAGGGACACCCCTGGGCATCCAGCCGTGCTCCTGGCCATGCCATGGCCACGGAGGGACATGCCTGGGCATCCAGCCATGCCATGGCCATGGAGGGACAGCCCTGGGCATCCAGCCCTGCTCCTGGCCATGCCGTGGCCGTGGTGGGACACCCCCAGTCCCCCATGCCCACCCCCATCCCTTGCCTCTCAGCTCCCGGGCGTAGCAGTACACGTCGTACTGTTCCTCGGGCTCCCTCCGCCCGTAGCTCCGGACTCCGGGCAGGCTGTTGCGGTCTCCATAGCAACCGGGCCGGGACAGCGTGATGGGGTACCTGTGGAGAGGGACAGTGTGATGGGATGGATACCCGTGGGAAGGGGCCGCGCGGTGGGATACCTGCCAGAGAGGGGCGGTGTGAGCGCTCGGCTCCGCTGAGGGAGGGTCCCGGCCGCCCTCCCTCCCTTCCTCCCGCCGTGCCCGCACCCACCGCACGCTCTGGTCGCCCAGCCAGCCCGCGTCGCAGTTGTCGTAGCCGTCCTCGAAGGCGGCCTGGAGGTGCCGGGGGGAGGCGATGACGGCCGAGTTGTCCCGGCAGGCGCGGCGGGCGGCGGGGAAGGTGAGGGCGTAGCGCTGGCCCGCGGGGCGGTAGTGGAACACGACGCCTGGGAGGGCAGAGGAGTGTAGGGAACCGAGGCGTCGGCAGAGGAGGGGGGATGTGGCACGGTGGGCAGGGCTGGCACGGGGTACGCGGGGCATGGAGATCACACGGGGTGCAGGGCTTTTGTGGGGCACGTGGGGTGTGGGGACTACACGGGGTGAACAGCTCTCGTGGGGTGTATGGGGTTTATTGGGGTGCACGGCTCTCATGGAGTGAATGGCTCTCATGGGGTGCAGGGAGTACATGGGGTGCATGGGGTACATTGAGATGCATGGGGTACATTGGGGTGCACAGCTCTCACAGGGTGCATGGGGTACATTGGGGTGCACAGCTCTCATGGGGTGCACAGCTCCCATAGGGTGCATGGGGTACATTGGGGTGCACAGCTCACATGGGGTGTGTGGGGTACATTGGGGTGCATGGCTCACATGGGGTGTGTGGGGTACATTGGGGTGCATGGCTCACATGGGGTGCACAGAGCTCTCATGGGGTGCAGGGAGTACATGGGGGTGCATGGGGTACGTTGGGGGGCACAGCTCTCACAAGGTGCATGGGGTACATTGGGGTGCACGGCTCTCCCAGGGCACACAGCTCACCCGGGGTGCACTCACAGCTCACCCGGGGTGCACTCACAGCTCACACAGGGTGCACTCACAGCTCACCCGGGGTGCACTCACAGCTCACCCGGGGTGCACTCACAGCTCACACAGGGTGCACTCACAGCTCACCCGGGGTGCACTCACAGCTCACCCGGGGT